ACGATGTCAATACATGGAGGACTGTGGTGTTGTACGAGCCAAAATGGCGGAAGCTGACTGAGACAGCCTTGGCCAGAAATTGGCTGTAGAGCGTAAGAAGAATGTTGATAAAACGAATAGTACTGTTATGATATATCTGGAATTAAAAAGGAGATACACTGAAATTTTGCATCCGAGTTGGCTTGATCAAAGAACTAGGTTAGAAAATAACAAAATGGAAGATTCTTCAAGTTGTGGGTGAATACCAGTCTCACATCTTTGTTTGTTGTAGCTAAAATGACAATGCAAGAATGCTGCCAAAAGAGATGCCTATGGGATGCACTGCTTAAACAAAAACTGCAAAAATAATTTAAAGACTGGTATAATGTTTAAAAATGTTGAAGTACCAAAACATTATTTCAGTAGTCTATCAAAGAATAATCTGTTGAATATCCAATTACATATAGGTAGCTTTACAGATAGCAGCCAATGGCACAGTTGCACATTTGAGATACAATGAAAATAGGCTAATAATATTATTTGTCATTTCTAAAGTACAAGTGGCCACCATAAAAAAGGTTATGTTACCTCAGCTGAAGCTTTTGGGAGCAGTAACAAGAGCTCAGCTCATTACATTTATCCAACATTCATTCAAGAATGTAGAAATGAAGACATATCTGTGCACAGATTCAGAATTAGTACAGCACTGAGTCAAGTTTGTTCAATGAAACAGTAACAATTTGTACAAAACAGATGTCTAGAAATCAAAGAGAAAACTGATACAGATTGGTTGAATAATTGTCCCAGAAGTGAGAATCCTTCAAACTTATTGATGAGACAACAGAAAATAGAAACCCTTTTAAAAAATGGATTGTGGTGGTATGGCCCATCTCAGCTTATTAAAGATAACTTTTTGCCCCAGATCTCCAAGAAATTTTAATGAAAATGATAAAATAACAATTTCTGAGAAATCAAAAGGAAAGACACAAGAAATCTTAACAGTATTGTTGAGATGAGCGAACCCATCTTCCCAATCAAAAACTTCAGTGACATAACGAAAGTAAAAAGAATAACCTCTTATGTTTTCAGATTTATGAATAATATGAAAAACCCCAACTTAGAGGAAATAAGGAAATTAAAGCTGAAGAAAAGCATGGACAGTAGGAAAATATTTGTATCATACCCATTTGTTGATGCAAATGGAAAACTCAAGAGTATGTGGAAGGCTTCAATGCTGGCTTCAGCTATAACCAAACACACCCAACCATATTACTTGAAAAGTGTCATTTGGCATATCAAATCACTAAAGATTGTCACAAAACGCAAAGACATGCCAGTGTAGCTGAAACCTTAAAAAGAGAAATTTTGGATATTAAAAGGCCAACAAAACATAAAAAGTAATATTAGCCCATGTGTAATTTACAACAGATTTACAGTTAAGTACTAAGATATCACCCCTATAACAAATGAAAGAATAACAAAGGCAAGTCCCTTTGAAGCTGTTGGAATTGATTTTGCTAGTCCTTTGATTAGAAAGAATGAAACTGAGAAGGCTTATATTACTCCATATCAGGGCTTTTCAACTGCTGTGATTCAAAGGGGATGAGCTAAGCCTTTTATTTACTCATTAAGTATTTAGCTTAATTTAAAGAAACTACTTTTGTTCAGCTCCTGGTATTTTCAACATTTCTTCCAATTTTATTTAATTTATAAAACACATTAAAAAATAAACTAAATTTAAATAAATGTTTATGTGTTGAGTTTTGAAAAGGATGAGGAGAATGATGGTCTATCAATGGTGAAAGAGACGAATAGAACAAAAAAGGTTCACAACCACTGACGACCTATGTACACTGCGCAAAAAAAAAAAAAAAAAAAAAAAAAAAGAGACAGTTCTATACGCCCGTTCTACTGGGCCATTGACGAAATTCAACTTGCATTTTTCATGTCTCGAAAGCATGACTTAGGATATGTATTAGATTTATATATAGCGTTGTTCTAATGCCAATTTTCCATGCCAATTTTTTTACATATTTCGATTTTACAACTTGGACCAAATTGCCAAGTTTTGTAAAAATTGGCCAAGTAATTTTTAAAAAATTAGCTCTCAAAATTTTATTTTTGAGAAATTTTAGCTCCTCATTGTTAATTGAATTTGGTATACATTTATTAAACTTACATGATTCCTTCTCCCAGAATTCAAAATTTAGGCTTGATCCAAATACAATTTGCACATTTTAATGACTTATTTTAAAAATTTGTATTTTAAAATAATTTTTATTAATTTTTGAAAAACAATTTGTATTATAACCTAAAAAATTTTACCATAATCTGAAAACAGATGTATTTCTAGACACACCTGCAAAAAAAATAGACTTTTTTATTTAAACTTTTCTAAGATATACATGAATTTACATATTAGCATGTTTTGAAATTTGGCACTTTGTTAAAATTATTTGAAAGTATGAATGATGACTTTTTTCCACTCGTCTACAGTGAAAAAAAGAAAAGGAAAATAGGTTGCTATAAATTCAGAAGTTTGCCAAGTAAATTATTCTTGATGCAAACTGAAAAAATGCGGCAAGATAAATTTTTGAATTTCTCCGTAAATTTTGCATCAAATTTTACAAAATTTAATATTTAGGCACAATTTGAGTCGTAGAATCGAAACATGGAAAAAAATTGATAATGTCATTTCAGAAAAAGTCTGATGCTAATATACAATAATTACCAGTAATTTATTCATAGACACTTTTCAGCTGTTACGTTCTTACTGCAATCGCATCCTTTGGAAATCCAATTATTCACATAATTTCTCCTCTCGATTTTTGTATGATAAAACTAGTAAAAAAAAGGAGGGAATACATGAATAAACATGGTATACACTAAAATGATACAATATTCTGGGATCCAGGCTCATGGGAATTTCAGCCATTCTGGATTTGGAATTTTTTAAGATATTAGATTATCAATTTAAATCTGGTAAGCTGACATGGATATAATGCTTTATTAAACATTTCTTTGAATGTAAATATAATGTTTAAGTTGCTTCATTTTCTGTGCTAATATATTCTCATTAATTCAACAGATAGGTACAATTCCTTGTTTAGCTACAAAGTTTCGATGTTCAAGTTCTATGATTGCCTTGTTGGGAATTCCCACTAACTTGTCAGTCAAGATTTTTTCATTCTCAACAACCTGCATCCTTTTCTTGACTATTGGTATTCAATTTTCTGGATCATAAGTTAGAAATATTACAGATTTCGCCGTCAGTTTACTGATGATTGGGGCATTGTCATCAAAATGCAAACTACTTCTACACATTTCTTCCTACATTCCAGTATTTGAAAAATTTTTCCATTTGTTTGTCATGACCTTCAATTTCACAGATACCATCCCAAAGCTTAGCTAAATGTTCACTATGTACTACTAGCGATGTATCATGAGACTGGCAATTAAAGATATGTTATGTTGTTTTGCAAAATTTTGTCTTGCTTCTATCACATGGTAATGAAGTCAAGCTTGAATTATATTAGTTGTTTATTATACTTGCACCTGTTTCCCATGTATGCTTAAGGCTCCTCCGAGTCTCGAATAAATAAATTTCCATATACATTTAAGGCTTAATCAGAGCCAGTGCCAGACATTTTACAGCCTAGTGTAGTCTCCTCGGGTCCAATATTCTGCTACCAAGCCTCTCCCAATATTCTAAAAATTTTGCTGCCTGTAAATTTTCTATCCTATTGCCTTCACTATATTCTAAAGATTTTTGACAGCCCTTAATACTGTTCCTCGACACTTCTCTTAATTCTAAAAGCTTTGCCCTCTCTAAATTCTGCCGCATAGTGCGGCTTATGGTATGGTGCAGATCTTTGTTCTCCATAGCACATTAAATAACACTCAGAGCATTCATCCAAGAAATTCAATTAGATATAATGCACAGTAAAAATTTACTTCAAGACTTCAAATATGCATACTCCTTGACAGCCTGACCTCTATTCTCTGCCCCTCTACAAAAATTTCTCTTCAGAACTGCCATATATATTGGCAAAAATTTTTAAATTTCAAAATGATACTTTCACACAAAATAAACCATAAGATTGGGTCTGATTGATCATCAATTGGAATTTAGATGGCATGGTGCAGATCTTCATTATCTATAGAACATTAAATAATATTCACAGCATTCCACCAAGAACTTCAATCAAACACAATAAAAACTTATCTTTATTTTAAAGCCTTCAAAAATGCTCTCTACTCTTCAACGGGCCGAACTCTGTCCTCCAGTTATTCTCAATTTAAAGAGCACTGAATGTAAACTTTTGATCTATGAGTAACATTTATAAAATCTAATTTTTTTGCGAATGGAAAGAAATTTCTGATAAATTCTTCCTTGTCATCACACTTAACACTTCACAGTGGAGTTAGCTGAAGTCAGTAACGATTGAAAAATGTAATGTCAACATAATGTTATCATGCTCTTTAGTACTGAATTACTAATATTTAAAAAAAAAGGGCAAAAATTTTTAGATAATGCTGCATGAGTCATTTCTTAAGCTGCCGTGTATTGACAGTCATGAGGTGTAATGATTTGCCAGATTGATATCAGGAATATAAATTATTAAGAGTAAAATTAAAGATATTTCAATGTAGAATGTTTCGGTTTGAAATGTATGCCAAACAAAAAAGGCAGATGCCACCAAATGATTTGTTTCTTCTGTTCCAATATTTCTATTAAAAAAAGTTGCTAGTGATCTGGAAGCCCAGGTTTTAGATCATTCTGGACGCTGGACATCCAGATTTTGGACTTTGTAGAGTATAGCAAGATTACTATATCTACCCCTTGTAAGACAATCTTTTTTGTAGTTCAAAAAATGTCTCTCAACTTAAGAACACATTATTAATATGGTTGGTATAATTCATTACTTTATTTATTTTAGTTTGATTTCTCAAGTCAACTCACAATCAATACCAGCTTAATGTCTAGTAAAATATGAGATAAATTCTTTCTAAATACTTACATGGAGTTCTTTCCCTCTTCTTATCTGATCAAGTAAGGCTGACCGATTATCTACAGAAGGAGTAGACTGATGAAAATCTGAAGTGGCAGGTTTTGCTCCTGGTGGCGGAGGTGGCGGTGGAGGTGGAGGTGGTGCTCCAGCAGAAGGTACTGGTGGGGGAGGTGGTGGGGGAGGAGGAGGTGGGAGAGGAGCAGCATCAGATTTTGGTAGTGATGGAAGAGCAGGTTGAACAGCAGGTGGCTGAGAAGGTAAAGGAGGAGGTGGTGGTGGCGGTGCTGCTGATCTTGTAGGTGGCACACGATGTGGACGAGGTGTCTGAAGAACATCTCTAGTTGGCACAGGAGGAGGAGCACCTATAACAGAATCTTTTTTTCCTAACTATATTTTAAAGACATTCATTACAGATTCAACAATGATTTTCAGTGTGATCACAGAAGAGATTACTCAATTCGTATGCAGAAAACACCCCCAACATGAACTCGCTTAAGGCAAACACTCGGTTAACATGGATAAAATATGATTTCATAGGCAGTTTTATCAGTTAACAGGAATTTCAATTAGCATGAATTACAAACTGTTTTAGTCCATTGTATAATTAGGTTTTATTATTTAACATGAACTTTCAAAGTTTTTTCCATTTTTCTCCTATTGTTACTCTGTGAGAACTTCATTCAGAAATATTCTATCCCATTTAATTGAAAATCTCATAGAATAAACTGTATTCTTAAAAAAATATCTAGCATAAGTAACATTTCTCGACAATTCCAGTTAAAATTTAAATTAATTGCATTTACAGTTAAGTATTTACATAGATTTACTGGACTGTAGTTTAATTCTATATGAATGTTCAGCATACACCAGCATATCTTCATTCTCCAAAAGTTCTAGCAGCACTGTTCAAGAGACCTGTAGATGGCACTCTGGTAGCTTTCAAGACACGACAATTAACACTAATTGCAAGCAGTAAGAGAATGGTTCATAGCCAAGAGTAAAAAGACAGGAAAAGATCTGCACACAAAACTAAAAATCCTACAGGAAGTAGACTGTGGTACATTTAAAGTGAAGTACAACTGATGAAAAGTATGGAAATGCCAAATCTACCTTATCCTTAAAAATATTTAATGCATCATGTTTGAGAACAAATCTAAGCAACTTTGCAATGTAAAGTACGAAGATGTCAAAACTTTACTTCTAGAATGTTTTTTTTTCACATGCGCACTTCTAATGTACCTTTGAATGAGCCTATAATTCGGTCAAAAACCAACTACATTGCAAAAAAATTTAGACATTCAAGATTTCATTTGTTACACTAGTTGGCTGTATCGCTTATGAAAGAGACACTAGATTTCATTATTAGTGATTTGAGGTGTTAATTTTGAGGAGTTTGCTAGTACAGATGAAGATTTGTAAATAAAGTTGATGAAGAAGGAGCAAAAAATTGGGTGCAGCAAGTGACAAAAAAATATGCCTTGCATGATGTCTTTACAATCTTACATGTGAATTTTTACAATCTTTTCCCTAGTATAAAGGGTGACAAATGCCATGATGGAGCATGCAGTAAACAATGTGTAACTGTTGTCCTTGCGTGTAATGCAGATGGCAGTGATAAACACCCTCCTTGGGTGAATAGTAAGTCCAAGAAACCACATTGTTTTAAGAACACAAACAGTACTTTATTTTGCATCTACTCTCACCATAATGAAGACTGGAACAACAGCTCATTATTTTGTAAGTGGCTCCTTTGTTTTATTTATTGAATAGTGCCTCAGAATAGGCATCTCCTTATCACACTTATAACTTCTTATGATAGCCCACCAAATACGTAATCTGAGCTTAACCATTTTAAAAGTCTACTACTCCCCCCCCCAAAAAAAATCAACAAGTTGTCTTTAGCCTTTGGATCAAGATATTGCAGTTATCAAGAGGTCTTACTGCAAGCGACTTATAAGAACTGCTGAAAAGGAGATGGAAATGCCAACTTAGAGTGTCCTTGATAACAATAAAAGCTACTGCAAGCTGGAAATCCAGTGTCATCATAACACATAAGAATTATTTCATCACAGCCTGGAGACAAAAATGCTAATCCTGTTGATGAGTTAGATGAGGACAATGCTATAGCTTCACTTGACAAATGGAACAGTCTACGAGACGTTGCAAACCCTGGTGTTAGTTTTGAGGAATTTGTTACTGCACATGACGATTTGCCGTCTGTGCTTCAGTGAAATCTGATGCTCAAGCAGTTGTGTCTGAGGTGCAAGAAATGTCATCATAAGAAGTGGGGAGGGCAATATCACTCCAAACACCTGCCAGGAAATGCTACATGCCTTGGACACTGTAGAATGTTTTGCTGCAACATCTGAATTGACTGTTAATTTTAGAAAAGCCATGAGTCCAGTTGGCCATGAAGTTACCAGGCATTTGCTCCCATCTGCGAATACAGGAATGCAATATACAGGAATGTTTCGCCAAAAAAATTATCTGCGAATGTACTTTTCCAAGTTATAGTACGGTAATTAATGTAATACTGTTGTATTTCTCTGAAAACATACAGATGATACACATAGTATATTATAGTACTTGTAGAATTATATGCTGCAAATATTTAATGCATAGACAAAATTATTCCAATAATGAAATTTGAATCCTCAGTTAACATGAATTCTTTTAATATGAACTCTTAATTTTTCAGTCCCTTGATATTCGTGTTAACAAGGGTTTACTGTATGACTAAAGATGTATCATTCATATTTTTAAACTATAGTAGGCTCCTCATTAACAACATAAATTTGATTGATTATTGGGTAGTGTAAAACTAACAAAGGTGGATTATTAAAACCCATTTGCTGAACAAAAAGACTACCACAAAATTGATCTAATAAAAGACATATAATTATTGCCCAATATCAGCATATTAATTTTATCTTTTTAATGCCTAGAATATAATATTTAATTAGTAAATAAATTTAAAAATATAATGAATAAAATAATATATATATGTAAATCATACATTGAAAATAAATATACTGTCGCAGATATTAAAGGGAAAATGATAACAGAATGCACATTGCATCAGTATGCCATGAATGTATGAAATTTTTTCATTCATCATTCATTTTCATATACGTAGGAAGTTTATCTTACACAGTTTTTGTCATGATATCCTGGAGGATAAATTCTGTATTTTTAGGATGATGACTTACACAGTCTAGTCTGATTTCAGGAACAAAGTAGTGATTAAGTATAATAAAGTACTCTCTGTGCTGAAAGTTATTGAGGCCTTATATTAATAGATTAAACACTAATTGAATTCTATGTAGTTTCAATAATACTATGTAATTTATTAATTTTGTTCAGCCAACATAGTTTGTCTTTCTATAATATAATTTATGTCTAATATAAACTGCATAATTATACATTTTTCTGACATATCCACCGTAAATTGCAGGCATGCAGCTTATAAGATCTGACATTTAATATAACCATTTCCAGGTTTTGTTTTACAGTTCAGAAATCAAAGAAAATTTCATAAATTTAATTTTAAAAATTATTTTTTAACCCTTACGCGATGGCGCACTTTTGTTTAAGACGCTCGTGTGGGACGGAAGGCAATCGAAAGCAAACACCGTAAAGGACGGAGGTTTTGCATTGCTAAGCCTAATTTTATAAAAAAAATCAGAAAAATAAAAAAAAGTTTCACTTCTAGCATTGTAATTTTTGGTTATTACTTGAATATTACTTGAGACTGATTATTATATATTGATTATTAGATTATTACTTGAGCTCTTACATACGTTAAAATTAGCATTTAATAGCATTTTTTTTTTCTTTATTTTACATGAAAATATACTTACTTAAATTGCTTATCTTGTAAAATAATTTTCAGAAGCGCTATTCAAATTATTCCAAAGTTTTAATTGATAAAATCCATTAATAAAGTTTAAAATTAATAAAACAACACAATAAAGACTATTTACAGTAAGAAGTAACAAAATTTAAAATGAAGACTGAGTGTGGTAAACTTCGAAGCACGGAGCATTACCACTTTCTAACTCTTTAGAAAATGAATCATCACTCTCATTTCACTAACCATACGAGTGTATTCTTCCTCTGATAAATAGCGCCTTCCTGCCAAAATAGACTGGAGGTGAGGCTTTCCTAAATAAAAAGAGAAGAAACAGAAATATATCTGAAGGCAATGCAAAACGTAAAAAAACTCCCCACAGTAACTCTAAAAGACCGTACATAGTAGAAGAAAAAAATAGAATAAAAAAAGGAGTTGGATATAAATCAGACAGGCGAATGTTTTCATTAGCACCATTCGCATGCAGTGATTTAAAGAGGGCCCCTCTGTTTACGCTTTCCTTTCCCCCACTCTCGCAACAGCTGATGAGTAAAATACCAAAGTCAAGCAGAATATATCAAACTCAAGGTCAGGAACCTAAAACTGTATTCATTTCAAAAGTAATGAACATAGGATGCCATCTAGAGGCCTTCAGAAAAAAGTTCCATCTTAAAATGCTTATACACATCACCTGTCCTCTGAATGCAATCTCTAGCGATACGTGGATGTAAGAGCCGTTCTTAGGGAATGCATATATGGAACGCCCGTCCTGAAAGGGTTAATCTCAAATGTGACACATCTTAAAATGTCAACTGTATTAATACAAAACATTTATATTACTGAACATTTGCACTTACTTTTTTGAACTGTTTCTCTCTTTGCTTGTTCTACCCCTCCATGGTTATTAATAAAATCATAAATGAAATTTCGTGTCTCACTGTCATTTAAATCTTTGTCTGAGACTCCAGCTAAACTAAAGAAATCCTTTAATTCTTTATCTACACTTTCAAGCTATAGAAAAAAAGCATACACGTGATTTAAATGGAAAGGAAAACATGAAAGCAATTTAAAAATTCAACAGGGGAAATTCAGCAAAATTAAAATTTTCAACAAAACTCACACTAAATCCTGTTTCTGGATGCCACCCTACATGTTGCACATGTCTGAAAGAAAAAAAAGTAATAAACTTTGAAATTTATTAGAATGGCACCAAAGCAGCTGATACATTTAAATTTGAATATTACACTCGCGTGAAAGCTTGGCACAGTTGACAAGAAGCAGAACAGTAGAAAAGAGGACATCTATCATACTGTTAGTTTTAACTGAGCACTAAAATTAGCAACGAGTTTTGTAATTACTGGTGTTCACAGTTATTACAAAACAAAGTTGGTGGCAGGAGTGCAGTGCAAACTTAATGTATCTTTTTTCTTTCCAAAGTGGTGATTTTAAAAGGTCACATGTTCAAGATGCATACCATGATTATTCATGAACTCAAACAAACCACAGCTGATGAAGTTGAGATGAGTGTATGACAACTTCCAGACACATTTGCAACAATATATGGATGTAAAAAGAATGCCATCAACCTGATTTAATTTAAAAAAAATAAGGCTGCAATCTCTAGGTATTAAATAACATACTTGGATGTATTTACAGATGGTTTAAATTATTTTCTCATTTCCTTATATTATCTATGACCATTTGGACAGTTGGCTCTGCACCACCCGGTACTACTCAAAAATATTTTCAGGATAGTACAAATTAAAATTATTAAAGATGAAAAAAATATTTCATTCTTTACTACAAATTTAGTGGTATTTAAGATGTTTCACTGTAAAGAATATTAGTACAAATGTGAAAAGATCAATTGAATTTGGTTAGAGTATCATTATCATCTTGGATTATCGATAAGTTGTTGTTTCATTTATGGTAACCTGAGTAGTTGAATGTTATGGAAACCCTATTATGACATAATTGGTTGCTTGATTGCGGTGAATTTGAATGATGGGAAAAAGATTCGTAAAGGCATCTTCGTGTCTTAGATGTTGGTTAATTTGTGGTTTACATGGTAAAATGACTGAATGCGGTAAGATTAAATTTGAAGTTTCTGTACGATTTGGAATGAAAGGGAAGAAAGCATCAATTGACTGGTGTGTAAATGAAGGTTTACTCAGTAGCCATTATAAGTATCCTGTTTGTATGAACGAAATGTGTGTAGTCGAACATCGGAGGATACTGACACTATGGAGGATATTTTTTACTCTTATTTTTGTGAATTTATGTGGCAAAAGCTAGTATACAGATTCTAGCTCAAATAAGTTTAGGAAATTTTTGGGTGCAGTTAAGGAATTTTGTTTGGCTGAAGACACAGAAACTTATAAACAAGGTAAGTGGATAATTCCTCTATGTAGTGCCAAGATGAATTTCCTTTTTTATGTTCTTTCATTGTTTGATTTAAAATGTAGTTAATGAGATAATATATTTTTTGTTTTGTCTCTGGTGTAGAATTGGCTGCTCCTTTGACTTTTTAAGAGAAAATAGATCGATGTGCACATGGACAAAGTCAAGGTAGTGCACAATGCCAAGTTTGTGCAATTCTATGATTTTTTTTTTTTTTTTTTAAGTGAAAATAGGTCGATGTGTACATGGACACTAAGTTTGTGCAATTCTTTGACTTGTCATTTTAGCTTTGTGTAGCGATGATTTTTAGCAAAAATTTTGACTAAAAATCATCGCTACACAAAGCCAAAATGACAAGTCAAAGAATTGCACAAACTTAGTGTCCATGTACCACCAAAAATCGCCAATGGCACCTGTAAACATATTTTGACTATTGAATTTATGTTAAAATTTTTTTAGCCTACATGCATGCATGACCACCAGCCAGGTAGACTGACACAGTGTCTGTTATTATTAAATTTAACTTTGTAGATGACGCTGCTATTGCGAACACAGTTTGATTAAGTCAATCGCGTGACTACTCGTACTTTGGAGTCGAGAGTAGATGTTCTGTTTATGTTAGCTGAATTCGCAGGCACAACTCCTTTTCGGCTTAAAAATAAAATCGCATTTGCTGTTTGTTATTAATCCGCATTACATTGCTACATTAATAATTATTGCTTCTGTTTTACTGGAGTATTTATGAGTTTTTTGGAAACAATAATTCCTTTTGCTCAATTTTGATTTCGTATGCTACGATGCTACGAACGCCGCTAAGCCTATTTTTAGTACCTTCGATTCGCAGATTTGTTTACAAAGCTTCGCATCTTGCGTTTTCATTAGTGTTTTAATCTCTTGTTTTATAATCGCTGTAACAAACATTTATTTGCCATCACCTGATGGATAATATGTATTTTCTGTATTAATCAAATAATTTTGATGCTACGAACTGTTGCTGACTCATTTGAAAGAACACATCTGCTGTATTATCAACCTAGGATAAGTCAATTTTATATTTTTCATGATGGATATGAAATCACTATTAGTAAAGAAATGAGTTGCCAAAGGCAATTTAATGAAATTGAAAGGTACAATTAATTTTGAGATTGCTAAAGCCGATGAGGCTAAAATCGAACTTTTTGTACAGAAACTTAATATTTTAAGTGCAGATGTTTTACACATTTTTGATTATATTTATGTAACATGTGAGGAAAAAGAAGTTGATACCTATGCTGAAGAATATCAAATAGTTCAAAATACAATTTATGATCTCTACTTGGAATTAAAACGAAAAGGTTTTCACCTTGATAATGTTAGTTCAGTTAGTGTTAATTCAGATACTACAGAAGTAAAACTTCCAAAATTAACTTTACCTACCTTTAATGGAAATTTAGATCAATGGCTTACATTAAGCGATCTTTTTAAGGCCAGTGTAAACAATAATGCTAAATTATCAGATGTTCAAATGCTTCAATATCTGATAATATCTTAATAATAATTCAATATCTTAAGAGCTCTTGTAAGGCTGAAGCTCTGAAAATAATTCAAGCTATACCTGTTGCAGATTCAAATTATAAAATTGCTTGGGATTTACTCAAGATAGATTTTCGAATAAACGTCAACAACGTCATTAATTAAAAAGCTTATTACGCATCCAAATGTTTGTGATTTAGCGGATGCTATTTTGAATCTTGTTGACGCCACTAACGAATGCATTTGTTCCCTAAATGTTCTAAAACAAAAAGTCAAAGGCTTTGGTGACACATTGGTAACTCATTTACTTGTAGAAAAATAGGATAAAAATATACGCATTTGGTATGAGAGACAGCAAAAAGGCGATCAACTAGAAACATTAAACGAATTACTTACGTTTCTAAAGGAGCATGCTAGAACACTTCACAACAGTTAAACAGATTTGAAGGGAAGAAGGATAAGTTCTAAAGTCAGATCTTTGGTTTTAAAAACTACTACAAGCTGTCCTTATTGTAAGAAAGATCATTACTTACATAATTGTGATCAATTCGGTAAATTGCCTGTTAGCAAGAGATTCAATTTTGTGAAGTTTAATAAACTTTGTTTTAATTGTTTATCTAATGTGCATAATGTTAAGGCTTGTAAAAGCTTGGATAGATGCAAAACATGTAATAATCATCATTCATTATTGCATTCCACGAAATCTCAAGATACTGTTTTATCTGCTACTGATAATGGAAATACATTATCCGTTCACGCAAGGGTGTTTACTCCTCAAAATATGGCAGAAAATATTATACCCAATGTTTCTCATAATTTTAATCAGACACACTCTAATTTTGTGAATAAGGGCACTTAATAAACAAGGAAGTTTTGTTGTGCACTGCCTGCAATTAAGGTTCATGACGCACTAGGTAATTTCGTACAAAGTCGAGCCTTGTTGGTGTGTGTGTGTGTGTGATTATGGCAAAGCCTCGAGGGCTATCTGCCTAAGAGAAGGGATGCTTTCGTGGAGGACTTCCTAAGGGAAACTGGCTCGTATATACGTTACACATGGGGAAAACCACGAAAACGCCCGTGCAGCCAGCCATTGATTAAGTCAAATCACGTGACTACTTGTGCTTTAGAGTCGAGAGTAGATGTTCTGTTTATGTTAGCTGAATTCGCAACACAACTCCTTTTTGGCTTAAAAATAAAATTGCATTTTAATACAGTCCATTTGCTGTTTGTTATTAATCCACATCGCATCGCTACATTAATAGTGTTCTTTATTAATTTAAGTGCTCTGCTAAGTGTCTGATATATCTAGCGATATTTTGAAAAAAAAAAATAGATGATCTACAAAAAATACAAAATGTTATAATTTCATTAAATTAATATTATGCTAAAATTTGAAATAAGAGCAATTTTTAATGTCTCCAGCTTTAATATGAATACTATTTATTTTGTATTTCAAAATGTTAATTCTAGGAATTTCACAACATTTTCAAATTACAGATAAAGGACCTTCTTTTCTGGGAAGAACAAAAACATAATCTCTGATTCAAAACAATATTTACATACATTATTTTGAAACATTTTTATACATACATTTTACATTTATTATTTAACTACATTAGATGATTATTTATTTTAAAAATGATGAACTGTTAAATAATTATCTTAGAATTGTTTGTTTTCATTTAATTCATTACAATTATTATAAAATTAGATGCATAGTCTCCTTAGAACTTGGACATTCCTGAAAAGGAATTAACTTACCAAATAAAGCAAAAATGGCATTTACTTTTCAAAACAGATTATAGTATTTTGTGATAAGCTTAATAATGAAGACACTCACATAAAATAGCAGTTTTTGACACCAGAATTCGAGAGAAACCGACTCTTCTTTTTTTATTAGACAGAGCAATTTATTTCTGTGCTACTTTTAATTTTTTTTTTCATTCTATTATAGCACCTGATTAAAATAACGTTTGCGTTAATTTTATGCTATTAGCTTAAAATTTTATGCAAGACATGCATTTGTAAGAAAAGTTTCATCTTTTCTTACAAATTTGGCACAGTAGATCTAAACAGATACAGTTTTAGAACATAAGACTGTGAAATAAAGATGCATTTTTTTTTATTTAGGAATATGCCCAAGGATTATTTAAATATGCTTAATTATGCATAAATATTTAAATATGATTATTTAAAAGAATTCCTCTCTTAAGTTTTTCTCCTTATTTGTGTGCCAATTTCACAATAATTTCGTCGTCTTATTCTGATACGATTTTGAGAAACCTCTCAAATATAAATCATAAAAGCATTATTAATACTCACAAATGCAATTTAGTAATATACATTTAGCTAATCATAATATTCTGAAAACTATTACGCATGATTATAAAAAACATTAAAACTCACGTGAAATTAGTAGGATTACTGATATCTTCTTTTGTAAGCTTCTTCTTCTTTCTTTTCTCTTGCCTTACATCCCTTCCATTAGAGAGTGACTGCATAGATTCTGACTTTGCTCCTAAACACATAATGAATAAATGTATTAAAACCTAGTACAATAAAAAATATAAACATAAAATAATAATTTAATATAAAACATAAAACTGTATTGATATAATGAAAACTATATTAACTTGAAAATATTACAATTTTTAAATAAAAAATCAATTACTTTCATACAATTTTTAAAATGATACATATTATCAATACAAAACATACTATAATGATAATTAAATTATGGTTTATATCAATTATTAAGGAAAAAAGACACTTCCTAAAAATATGTTCCTTTTTTAATATTATAATTATAGTTTACAGCTTACTCTATGATTATCTTCCTACTCCATTTAACAATTTTACTATATTTTACTTTTCATACATTTTCAGGGTTCACACACATTTCTGCACATGGAAATTAAGTACTTTTAAGGACCATTAATGAAAAAAAAATTAAGGACCTGTCAGCAAATGGGAACTGAATAAATTCAATTAAAAATATTATCTATGCCTGAACTTCACTTTTGTAATATCAACTTAAAAATAAAATAGATTCGTACGTAGGATGCATTATTATTAAACATAATTAACATAATTATTAATAAGTTTGAGAATAAAATAAACTTTATGAAATTTATCAAATAGCATTAAATATTTTACACTTATAATAGTTGAACATATCTGAAAGAAAATAAGCAACATTTTATTTACGTTTTACTAACAGTTGGCTTTATGTTGATTTTTTTGTCTCATTTTGTCACATTCTTGCTCAGTCTAGAGGTTTGAATAGCATGTCAAGTGGCATAGGTTAAAATGAGAAGTAAAAATCATAATCAGCATGTTTCATAACAAAAGACTGGCTGTTGTCATCTCTGCTATTTGCCTAGAGAGAGACCTCCTGGTCTGAACAAACCTGAAAGGCCTAATCTAAGTACGGTTGGCAAGTTTTGAAAGTTAACTGGGGCTCTGTCTGATGCAGTTAGTTTTGTAGCTTCTTGTAGAGTTCCAAGGGTTGTAACACAGTAATATACTTTAAGGTTCCAATAAACCAAAGCATGATTAAGTTGTTTTGTATTATTTCAAGTCTCACTAAATGCGAAGAATAAGTTTTACATGAATTTTACATTTTTGAGTTTTATCTTGTGACTACGGAAAGAATAAATGAAACGTAATGACTCCCTTTAATATGCAGAGATAATTTTTAAGGGTAAGCAGTTAGTTATAAATAATTTAATTAGCTTAGCTAGTTAGATAATCTTAGTCCTTATGGATTTACATGGCCACTATATTAGATTTTATTTATTTATTTAACAATATTGGTTAAAAAAACCCTATTAAAATCCCAATCTAATAAAATTTCACAGTTTAAAATATATGTAATTTATGGCATTGATTCTTAAACACTATTAGGATAATTACACATTAAAAGCTACAAATTATGTTTTGTACCAATTACACTCTACAAAATATTTATGCATCCTCTTAATTTGAAGCCTTCCCAGATATTTTGGCTAATTTATATCAATTTCCTTCTCTTTGAGCATCTTTTATAACAATTAGAAATTTGTCTCAGTATGCAAACCACTTTTATAACAATTAGAAATTTGTCTCAGTATGCAAACCAATGTTCTCAGTCTCTGCGTGCTTTATCTCCTAACTTGCCAAACTCTTCACAATGCACCTATGAGGCTTTATTTGATTTGGTAAAAATTAAATACTCCAAAATCCCCACACAGACATGAAGTAAATTATTGCTATGTCTGACAAAGGTTTAAATAAGCCTCTTACTTAAAAAGAACTTAGACCATAAACGCATGTTCTTATGCTAACAAAATCAATTACAGATCATGGTGATGTAATTCAACAAGAAGAGTCAAATTCAAACAATACTCTGTAGACTCCTGGTCAAAAACTATACAATATAATTTTAATTTATACTGGCTCAGGAACTCTATCATCATAACAAATTCAAATGTCGGCAGTGATAATCCAAAGACGAATAATTACAAATGATCAGAGCTGGCAGAAACCAATGCAGTAAACAAGCGGAGATCAGAAACACACTTTGTCCTACACTCCAAAAACCTCAATTTAAATCTGTCAAAGTGATTGCAATCTGGTCAGGAAAATCAAAATGAGAAATTATAGTAAAGGCTTAAATTATAAACAACTGGGTAATTTACATAATAGTAACTGTATATATCTTTGAAGAATGATTTTCTTTCTCTTTATGTATTCAGTTTCTTTCTTCAACACATTTCAGAAGTAAAAATTTTTTAATGAAGCTGATCTTAAAATTGCAAAAATGTTGATAAGTCACCAAATTTAGAACCATTTAATAAAAGACTTCACATCCCCAAAAGCAAAAGATTGTTTACGAGAACAGTCGTTCATTAGAAAAAAATGAAATAACTTTGAAATGCCTGTTTCATTTCTTGCTCAGAAACTTAAGTATCCCACCATTTATATTAGAAATAGAACCAAATTATAACCCATTCAAAAGATAACCATATTTGTCAGTGAATCGCCAAAAATATTCCACCAAAATGCTAATACATACTAAAAATGATAGTCTTAAAAACATACAAATTTCTGATGAATAAAATTGAGGACCTTCTACTCATTTTGGCCGAAACTAAGGACTTTTAAGGACCAAAAATTGATTTAAAAAAACCTAAGGACTCTTAAGGGCAGTACGAACCCTGATTTTACAGGTATGCATGCATAAGTACATATTTATACTTTATACAATTTTCTTTTTTATCACATTTTGCAAAAATTTACTTCTTTCATTGCAATTTGCATAATTTTTTTTAAAATATATATTATATAATTCTGCATTATATTTTATTCTCCAAATAAATTTTTTATCCAAAAGTAAAAACATTTAGATGTGTTTTAAACCACAATAAAAAAACCATTTATTATTAAATATAATTCAAACTTAGTAATCTATTAAACTTTAAATTTTAGAAAATAATCATTACATCATATTTATATAGGCATTAATTAAATATTTTGAAAATTTTAAATATTTTTTAACTTAATCAGCAAATTACTTGAAATATGGTATGTCAAATGCACATTATTATTTTTTGTTTCCAATATAGGCAAAAATTTATTTGAGTAAGGAGATGTAAAATTTAAAACTCACGTGCTGCTATTATACCAGCATTTGAAGGCTGAACATTCTGTTGAGCTCGCCTTTTTTCTGAAAGAATGAAGAACATATAAACCAAGAAAAAAGGCCAGAGCACTTTCTTAGAAAAGTGATTAATAACAAAAATAATATTTTTATAAAATTTATTTTTATATTTTCTAATTATTTAAACCATTTCATATTTCAGCAAACTAACTCAAAATTCTAATTTTTGAAATGATTTAATCATGTCACAGAAGATTCTGCTGTTTTTCAAAGATAAATCAAATGTAAATCTTTGTTAAGCAATGCAGATAAAACAATTTTTTATCTGTACAGTTCAAAGTCCGAAATCGGGACTCGTCTGGACTTACGCAATTCCAGATATTAGATCATCAGTTTAAATCTAATAAGATGGCATGTAGAAACTATCAAAATAAAAATATGAAATCATGATTTATGAAATAATGAAGTATTTATGATCTAAAGGGTATCAAAATTTACAAAAAAAAAACAAAAAAAAGAGGGCAAAATATTTATTTGTTTACACTATTAAACTTTTCTTTCAATGTTAAGTTATTTAAGTTGCTTTGTTTTTTGTGCTAATACTTTCTCTTTAATTCTGTAGACAGACATAATCTCATGATCAGTTACATTGTTGAAGTCCTGTAACTGCCATTTCGAGAACTTGACTAACTTGTCAATCGAAATTTTCTCATTTTCAGTAACTTCTCTGTCACTTTTTTCACTGCGATGCACCATGAGTATGACGACTTACGACAAGTTGTTCCATTAAATTTGATCTTGCTTCAATCGCGCACTGTAGCAATTATGCTTGAATTGTATTAGTTTAGTTATTTATTATACTTATGTCTATTTCTTGCACATGCTTAAGGCTTATCAAAGTTCTGAATAAATAAATTCCCACATATACTTAAGCCTTATTGAGGGCAGATGCTAGATATCTTGCAGTCTCTGTGGGTCCTGATTTCTGCGACCCGGTGTGGCCGTACGAGCCCCGACGCTGTTTCTGCGTTTATGTATAACAAATCAGCTATTTTTAATTCAAATAGCCATAAATGAAATCTTTGGTCTATGATCATCAACAAAATCTATTTTTAGCATATAGAGAGTAATTTTTCCTCAGCAACATTTTTAAGTGCATTTAACTTAAATTTGTAATTATCACCAAGCGTAATGTGAACATAAATGGTCACCATAGTCCTTTATTATTAAATTACTAACATAAAAGAAATTGTTTAGGCATCGCTACATGAGTCATTACTCAAGTTGTCATGTTTTGATAAACATGCGGTGATGAAAGGAAAGTATAATAAATAATGATTCGCCAGGTTGGTGTCAGATCAACGATGTATCTATGTGGAATGTTTCGGTTTGAGATGTGTGCCAGGCAGATATCCAGCAACAGAGCCAAATTATTGATTGTAGAAATTTATGCTAAAATGATTGTTTCTTCAATAATGAGGTATTTTATTTAGTGTCGAAGCGAAATTAAGAATTGGGATTCTCCAGATGTGTTATTATGCGCGGAGGGGCAATCAAATGGGCATGCGCAAAGCATAGAGAAAATCGTTGTTGGTGGTTTTGAGGTCCGGATTTTAGATCATTCAGGATAATGGACGTCTGGATTTCGGACTTTGTACTGTATTATTTAATAAAATCCATTTTGTTCGATGGCCTTTTGCCATTTCTCTGGCAGATGGAAAATTTTTCTCCAAGAAAATTCTTTTTGTTCTGAAATTTTGACTCCACTGCTAGAAAAGAAATCATCAAGCTATTACTTGACAGTCTCCAAAATTCAGGAGATTTTAAAATAACTTTTATAAATAAAAATCCTAAGTAGGCAAGGTCAGGTGAACATGGGGATAAACTAAAACACCCCAGCAAACTCAATAAGCCTTCATCAAACATTCATGGAAATGAGAAACATAGCAAAATGCTTCTACGATTTATTAATTCAGAGATTTTTCATCAACAGCTGCCTTCAGATGTCTTGATATTTGTTAGATTTAATTCTTCTCTATTCATGGGGCATTTTTTCAATATTTAATTAGAAAACAAATTATAAAACATCTACTACTACATTTAATAGAAACGTTACAAAGACTGCAAAATTACGATTAAATATATGTTGAAAATCAGACTATTTTTGTAACTGTAATTTAAAATATTTTTCCCATATGGAATACATGCACATTTATAAAAAATAAACTGGCATTAGAATACTTTGCTTGTTTACTACATAATGTGATGTTCAAGCAAATTATGTTGATTCACTTAACACATTTTAAATAATTTATTATTAATTATTACACTAGTATTAACAATTACAAAGCATAAGAGAATGTTGCTTATATAGCTAAATAAATGTCTATCTTCAGTTAGTATAATGAAATGAATATATACTACATATAATAAAGTGAATGATAGCAACTGCAAGTAGTCATACTCGTACAGATATTCTTCTAGAAATGCCAAACTTGGTAAAACTTGAGGAAGTTTTTATTATTTAACTGAATTAACGTTATTTAACTGAATTATGCCTGTAGCATACAGCAATTTCCAGACTGCACAGAAAGGATTCTTCACCATACATTGGATGTTACACCTTATAAAAGGCATATTACTTACAGTTTTGAACAAGAAACAAAAATATTTAAATTTAAGATACATTTTTCTATGTTATTATTTCTGACCTAACTTTGTTACAGCTAAAATAATAAGTAAATATTATGCTCTAACTTTTCTGTTATTGGCCAACACACATCAAACAATTTTCTACAGAAAGAAAAATGGTAAATTTCACTTTTAACATCAGATGTGTTATTCTTAGCTCTCATAATAAGCATTCTCACCCCCCAAGTAAATATTTTCAATTAAAATTTTTAAAATGCATCATTCCTTTTCGTCTTTGTTTTTTAAAACAACCAACCTAAGAATTGAAGTTTTACATTAAGAAACATTTTACTTCAATCAAAATCGGATGATGATCACAGTTTGTTTTCTCACTGTAAGTACTAAGTTGGAGCATGTATTTTTCTACAGAAAATAGTTCGTCTTATAAGAGAAAATAATGCACCATTCCTTTAAAATGTCCGAATAGTTTCCTTGATATAATACATAGGATCCCTTCTCAATTATCCATGTTTTTTTTTTTTTTATTACTGTATCTCCACAGATAATCATGACCATTAGATAACATTCCATAGTATGTAAAAAAGCAGGAGATACAACACTCAGTTATTATTAACACTGAAACTGACTATATTAGAAATTCAATATATTGTTAAAAGAAAACTGGAATAAATGGAAATAAGCTTCCAAAATATTAATAATTATGCTTACAAAATGTAATAGTGAGTTGTTCCTATAAAAGAAAAGGGAGGAAAAGTAATACTGTTACATATTTAAATGTTAAAGAAGTCACTTCACAAAATAGAATGCAAAGAAGAGTGAAGATATGCAACAAATCATCATTTACTATATCATTACTCGGCTTAAGAGCCTTCGCATAGAATTTTATTCAAAAGAATGGATGAGAAAAAATTACTAGAGCTTTTAGAATGCTGACTAAAAAATTCTTCCATATGACAAACAAAATAGCCTAAAAATAATAACGAAAATGTGTATTTTGCAGAGTTTGGAGGAATGTTGTAATGCTTTATTATATGTGACATGTTAAATAACAGCCATAAATCTAGTTTAATGAGCTTCAATTTCTAGAAAATTAAAGAAAATCAAAATTTTCTCAAAAGAAGTCAACTGCAAATTCACTTAGATAAAATTATTAGTTAGTTTTAATAAGAATGTCAACCTCTCTTCCTTCTCTCTCGTTCCTGCAGCTTCTTTTGTACTGCTGCTTTAAAATCTTGAGCTTCTTCATTACTGGCAAAATTCAAACCGGCCATACAGTTCTGAAAAAGTAAAGTACTTTTATTTATAACATGAAAACACATCAAAGTAGATTAGTTTAAATAACTAAGAAAGTTACATAAATATATATCTAAATAGTCACATAGGGCCTTTCTTATTTGATAAAATAAACATCAAACATCAAAAATCAGATTAAAAAGATTTTATAGACTTAATATCGCATTTTATGCACTATAAAAAAGCTATAAAATTCATCATATATCTTATGACTTTATCATTCACTAAAAGATAATATGAATTTTCTTTAAAATAATAAATTATGATGTATGAAAAATATATCGCAGAATTCTACATAGTGTAAATTCACTCTAATGTATTCACATACACAAAATACCAAGCTAAATAAAAGAATATATACATTAAATTTATTTACCAAAAAAAAAAGTTTGCATACACTAAATTTACTTACATCAGCTTCAAAAGTGTGAAAAAAAGGGCATGGTTGTTTATATACAAATTGATTGTATAGTTCTTGCTCCCATATCCATGCACTTTTCTAAAAATTTTAAAAGAAGGATTAAATCTTTTACCATAAGTTAGTCTTAAAGCACATGTATTTTTAAAACTAAGAGAGTACTAGAATACTTACATCCATATCAAACAGTTTAATGAAATATGATCGGCGATCACCATCTCTGACAAAACAGACCACACCACAGTTCTTTTTAACCCACGTTGCATGATTGGGTTCCTCGGTCAAGAAGAGCTGCACAACAGCTGTCGCTAGGGCCTATAAAATAAGTTCAAAGGATGAGTTGTAATGCAGCTTTTAAAATCAGCAATGTAAAAAGCAGCAAAATTATTCAAATATGAATTACCATATTTGACGGCATATAAGACGCACTTTTTTTCCTAAATTTCGTCTCAAAAAAGTTACCTGCATCTTATACGTGAAGGATACAGGTTACAAAAACATAACCTTCGATGCCCAGCTCCATCTTGGCCTGAACTTGAAAATGCCGTAAAAATGTGGGTGATAGATAAGAGGAAATCTGGGATAAGTGTTTCAACCAAAATGATAATCAATGAGGCCAAAGGATTTGCAGAAAAACATGGGACTCAGAACTTTTCAGGGTCTGAAGGCTGGTGCTACAGGTTCATGAAAATGCAAGGCTTATCAATGTGCACAAAACTACTATTGCACAGAAAATGCTAGCAGATTATGAAGGAAAAATACTAGTATCTCATAGGTTTGTTATAAATGCATGCAAGAAAACTTCTTTCGAGCTCGGTCAAATAGGAAATATAGATGAAATTCCACTCACATTTGATGTACCATTCAACAAAACTGTGAGTATTAAAGGGTATAAATCAATAACCATAAAAACCACAGGTCATGAAAAAACCCGATATACGGTAGTTCTAACATGTTGTGCTGATGGCACAAAACTACCGCCGTTTTTCATATTCAAAAGAAAAACTCATCCGAAAGAGAAACTTCCAATGGGTGTAATTGTTCATGTTCATCCGAAAGGCTGGATGAACCAAGCTGGAATGAAACTGTGGTTACAGAACGTATGGGCGAGGCGACCTGGTGGACTCTTAAGAAAACCCTTTCTTTTGGTTTTGGATCAGTTTAGCGCTCATAGAACTGAAACCATAAAGAATAAAGTGAGAGAATTAAAAACCCAAATAGTTGTCATTCCTGGTGGACTGACTAGCCAATTGCAGCCTTTAGATGTATCGGAATAAGCCATTTAAGGAAAAAGTTCAAGAATGATGGAACAAGTGGATAGGAAAGCCACATCACACCCTCAGGTAGAATGAAGCGGCCCTCTATTTCACAAGCGTGCGAGTGGGTAAAAAGATCTTGGGAGGACGTAAAGGCTGAAGTAATTGTTAAGTCCTTTAAGAAGTGTGGAATCAGTAATGCTTTTGGCGGAACAGAAGACGACGCATTATTCGAAGAAGGTGATACTGGCGATGACAGAAACAGTAGTGATGACGATATTCTCATTTTCGATGATGATGATAGTGAAAAGGATTTTTATGGTTTTGAAAGTGATTAAAGTCTAATTTCATGATAGGCAACGTTTTCCTTGAATCTGTGTTTTTTGTTGTTTCCTGCTTTATTTTGTATTATGTTTGATTGCTTGCCATTCATTCATTTATTCATTACTGAAATTTACATATCATGTTCAAAATAGCTTGCCATTTGTTAACTTTTCTTAATAAAAATATGTTTGGCAATTGCATTCAATGATTGTTTATTTTGCTTTTACGAAACGTAAGAACTAAAAGAAACCACATTTTAAGTTATTGTGCTATCGTGCGGACTATTGGAACTTTTTTTCCTTGTGTGTGGCTGTCTAATAAGGGTGCATCTTATATGCCGTCAAATATGGTAACTGTTTTGCAATCAAGTTGATTTGATTAACTTCCTTCCTACAGTCAAGTTTTTTAATACATATTTTGGTAAACATTTACTCTATGGTACCCCTACGAAAATTGGGTACTTTTCCGTTTTGACGACGCAAATCTCACCAAGCAGACTTTAATGGCGACAACATGCAATATACACATAAAAAATTTTAACAAATGTTAGTTCTAAGAATTTTTTATTTTGAAGGCATAAACATTTTAGTATCGTTTAAAATTTTGTAAAAAGCCAATAAATAAAGACAAAAAAGTTGTAAAAAGACATTAATTTAATAATTTACTATGCTTTCACGGTTCAACATTCTGATTCGCCAGTTCGTATCACATGACCGCAAGTGATCTCATCTCACATAAGTATGCTACAAAAGTCGGTTGATCTTTACAATATGGTAACTGGTAGTTTGGCGACATTTTGGAGGCGATAAAGGTTACTACCTGGGACTTTGGTAATAATGTGAGCAGTACTCAGTTCCGATTACGCATTATTTTGTGTGGGGAAAATGAGAGATCATGGGATATGTCATGTGATATTAATGGACGAATTACGGTTCTTTAATCGGAAAAGGGGGGAATTTGGACAAGTATCTGTGGATGTATATTATTTTGTATTAAGCTTCACTGTGTGTTGTGTGAAGTAGGGTTGAATAATTTTGGGATTGTATGGCGCTGTCTAAAGTGAATTGTAGATGTGATAGAGAGAATTTTTTTTTTATGAAATTCTATCAAATTCGGAAAAGTAATTCGGAAAGTTCAGTAATTTTATTGAATCCATAATAAAAGTGTATCCACCATGTAAAGAAGATTAGGTTAGTTAGACTTTGTTAAGAATGTGAGTAGTATTCAGTTCTGATTACGCATTATTTTGTGTGAGGGAAATGAGAGATCATGGGATATGTTATGTGATATTAATGGACGAATTACTGTTCTTTAATCGGGAAAAAATCTGGCAATTTTGTATTTGGCTTTATTCTGTGTTGTGTGAAATAGTGTTTGTGAATTTTGGATCCCATGGCCGTAACTAAAATGAATTCGAAATGGGTACTTAGTGGTATTGAAAAGGATAGTAATAAATGTTTTTTAAGGTTGTGCGAGAGAGAAATAACGATGTTTTATTATGTTATTTATTTTACCTGGTATCTTGCTTTGAAAGATAAGTATGATTTTAAAGATTCTGAAACAGAAGTAAGAAAAGTGTATCCGCCACGTAATCAAGATTCTGAAGAAGATTAGGTAAGTTAGTATTTTAATTATTTGAGGATATTATTTTTATGCATTGTTGTAAATGTAAGGTGGAAAGGAATTTGGTATTATTGGGAAAATTGTTTACTAATAAACGATCGACACAAAAATATTATTCATACGTCTTAAGTATTATTAGGCTTAACACTTTAAGGTTAACAACATAAAACTTAGGTGGATATATCATTTCTTTAAATCCAATTAGACTAATTCCTCTTGAACTTTGTAGCTAAATTCGACAACAGCCTTACAATACGTATAAAAATTTGCAAACGCTTGCGATTCAATCATTTTCTCACACAAATTTTGTCCAAAAATTATAGAAAAATAAAATTAACAGAAGCATACGTCGTGTAATAGTGAGATTAAGGGGTATCAGCAACCCCTATACCGACAATGTTAAACTGGCCATTTTCGATGCACCTTTTCTCAAAATCTGCTGTAGATACACACTTGAAATTGTGTAATTAAAGTATACCTAACTGATTATACTAAAATGAGCTTTTAGAACATTTTGAATTTTAGAGTAATTTGCAGAATATTTTATTAGGCATAGTCAAATTTAGCACTTTTCTCACACAAAAATAAAAATTTTTTTTCTAAGTTTATCACAAAAAAGCTCATTTCAGTAAATATTAGGAAACCTAATAAATAAGCCATAAAAGGTTTAGATACCAGAGAGCAGAAGTTCCTGAGAAAAAGTACATCGAGTATAAAAAAATCACGTTTGGATAAAAATGCCTTTTTATGTAAAATCCTCTTTGATCAAAGCAGTCGATAACAAATTAAAACTACATTTTTTACAGTTCTAATTTTCATAGAGATTAAAGAATGGTATTTTTAGAAAGATAAGATAGAAGTGTAGAGAATTTAAAAATGCAAAAATCCGAAATCACAATTTTTTGAAGATTTTGAGGTTCCAACACCCCTTAAGAACCTTTTACGTCTGTATATCCAAACAAATAAATTCTAGTATGCAAAAATAAACAAGTGGACAAAGATACCGCATCATATTCATGTTATGTTGCATATTCTATGTTACAAGCGTATTCATGTTACAGGAAATATTTTGGGTAAATTCTCTACAGAAAATCCTCACAACTTCTTTATTAGTGATGAGAGAAATTTTCTCTAACTTAATTCACACAAAATATTTCTTGAATTGCTGATAGGATCGTATTAGTGAATCTAAAATCGAAAAAAAGGAAACAAAATTCAATAAAAGTTTGAGTTATCATTTAGAAAGTAATTCAGAATCATAAAAAACCTTAATAGTCACATTAATATTTGCATTACTCACTCTAAATTCATATCTTAGGTATATTCTTACCGACTAAGCTGTCGTACAGCTAAAACTAGCGTATCATACCCAATTGATGAACAGTGAATTGTTCCAGCAGCCCAGGACACAGTAAGCATTATGTTTTGCGAAAACGATATTAACGCCGAAAAGAAGAGAAGTGAAGCGAAGATCTAATGTTTGAGTATTGTCTACTAGTGGATCTGGCAACTACGAGTAGAAAAGAATAAGGTTGAAAGCTAGCCACCATTGATTGTGTGCGTGCTGCTAATTCTGATTTGTGATATGTACGTATGTTAAGGTGTGGATGGCAAGCGTGTCCATTCGAGTAGAATACGTAAAATCTCATGTGTGTGTATAATTCTCTTAACAGAAGTAATATTAAAGATGATACGGTCCATTTAAAATTTTGTGAATTTCGTGTGATTAAGTTCGATTCTCGAACAAATAAAAAGCAATAGTATCAAATACTACTCTCTGATACGACAATTGTTAGCAGAATATACGAATGGCAACTGAAAAGAAAGCGAACTTATAACTATAATTCAGAAAAGTAAGATTTTTAATCTTCAGTTTGATGAATCCACGGATTGCCAGAAGGCTGCACAGTTAATTTGTTTTGCAAAATATGAATAAAAACTAAAGTATTTGAATTTTTTTTTTTTTTCTTTTTTTAGCAAGGAAATACAAAGGACTACCGGAGAAGAAATCTTTAAATTGGGAAATTCTTACATCATGGGAAACAATATTTCTTGGAAAACCTGTCTGGGGATATGCAGTGATGGAGCTCGCGCCATGGTAAAAAAACATAG